TTTCTAAGGATTGCCTCTTTTTGTGCTCCTCAAATTAACTGAATAATTGATTAGCATATTTTTGTTCTTGCATGACGTTATGCTCTCTAGAGTCTTAAAATAGAGCAAGGAAGAACCTTGCAAAGTTCTTTCGATACATTGGAGTTTTTTTTATGAAGTTGCACTGCACTGTGTTGCAGTTGGTACAGGACCAAGCCCAGGAGGATTTAAAAACTGAATGATTGTGCTTTAACCAGTAGCTCTAGAAATCTCCAAATTTTTCTATGTGTGTGGAAACTCAGTTATTTTCAGTTACAGGGGGATTTTAAAATATGCATGAATCTACTGATATTGTGAGGTTTGTGGTGTGGTTTCTTAAGATCTTTAAGGCTGTTTAGTATGCCCTTACTCCAAGCATCCTTCAGCTGAGCCTTCAGCCTTCCATCACAGAAACATCCCCACATTTACAAAATACAGTCACCTCGCTGTATGGAATCCACTTTCAGTCAATGAGATGGTCAGATTGTATTCTTTAAAAGAGGAAAGTGTATATTAAAATTTTCAGACTTTTTGGTATGCGCAAGGAAGCACATCTTATCAAGTTGCTGGTCTATCATCAATGTGCATCCTCTGTGGTGTGTTTCTCGTCAGAGTTCTCACAAAAGCTTGTTTGGGTGATAGCTCACCCCTTAGACAGTGCTAAGTAGCACAGCTTCTGTAGAATTTAAATGTTTTGGCATCCCCAGCAAAACATATACGGCCTTATCAGTAGCAGCATCATTTAGTGCAGGCAGATACTTCTGCATGATTTCAGGCTGTTTAAATATCTGCTCTTCCCTGTAAGGCTGTGTTCAGTTCTTACTCGAATTTGAAAGTTATTGTTGATCAGTAATTCTATTTTTCACTGATTCCTTTAACTACACACCAGTTTAATTTGTTGTGTTTTAAGTCACACACAATCTAATAAATGTTTGAACTCTTTGACAAGTTTTTTTTTTTTCTTGGGGAACTATTTTGTGGCACATATTCTTGAAGAATTTTTTTTTTTTCCAGTAAAGTACAAAATAATAGTTGGTTTAAGCTTTATGGATATTTTCTCTTTTTTTTTTTGTTTGGTTGATGCAGAAGAGAAATCTTCTAATTATCATCATTCACTAAATTGCTGTTCTCTTTTCGTCATTTAAGATGGAAGCTACAGACAAAATCGACTGAACCTCACAACACTGTTGGTACAGCCAATTTCTGCAGTGCTTGCCAAAAAACTCGTTTCCTTACCTGAGGACGCTGTGCAAAGAGATAGGTGTATACCCCTCCAGCTGCCAGCTACAGGTAATGCTTTTTAAATAATCTTTTCTTCTAACTATTAAATGTTATTTCACAGACTTTCAAGAGACTCAAAATCTGTTTTCTATAACTGTATATAACTAAAAGCTTTAGCTGATTATGGGTATGTTTTGCGTAGCTACTTTCTAGAAGCGACTGTGAACAATCTAAAAATTATGCTCCCAAAATCTGATAGATGGAAGTTTGTGTTAAAAAAAAAAAAAAAGTCGTCTCTCAGTATAAGGCGTTAAGCTGTAATTCTTGATATTGACTTAAACCCCCTTCTGTCTCTATCTTCCCTAGGAGATTTTGTTAGTGCTGCAGTATAGTTTATTAGGCCTTGTTTTACTGCTAAGAATGTGATTTTAACATTAAGGCACCAGTAGGAGTCTGAAAGTTATTCTGTGTCTCTTTTCTGTTTCTGGCATAATACTACTCTCATTCTAAACAGTGATATGTCCTTCTGTGTTCTTTAATTTGCATCTGCTATAGAATAAACAATGTATTGTTTTCTGAACCTTCGGGCACCTTTCCTTCCAAGTTTCACCAGGAAAACGGTCATCATGATAAGAACAAAATACCCTGAGTAAAGCTAGATGCAATGAAGTAATACACTCAGAGTATCTCTTCAGAGAAAACACCATTAGCAAAGTCATACAGATTATTGCTTGAACAAACTTATTGCTGATGTGGGGAAAAAAGGTGAGAATATGGTCTTCTAGCAAAGATACTGCACAGTGTTTCGGTGAACGAAGGAACATCTTCCAGATAACTTTCCAGATGAGATGCATGTTTAAATAGTAATTCTGTCTTGATTTTTGTTTTGTGCTAATCTATCTTTCATCAGAAAAAAAAAATGCAGAAAAATTAGCATTTTTATTTACAGTGCTTGTTTAAATGAATTGATTTGAAGCAGTAGTCTTGGAAGGGGGAGGCAAATTAAGTTAGCCACTGTATCCTGTGCTAAATACAGTGATGGGAACAGTAAAAGCAAATTTTAAGGGCAACCATTGTACTATCACATATGTGCTGTATCACTTGTTTATTGGTTTTGGAAAGTTATTGTGGAATAGGAGTACAATACAACAAGTCATGAAAAAGGTTGATTAATTTTATGGCTTGTGTTAGCATTTGTAGTTATACAAACTAAAAAAAAAAAAGGCAGAAAGACCTCATGCTTCATGGCTTAAGCTGTTGTGGTTAGGCAGGACTGTTGCTCTTCACGCATGGCTGGCTAGATATTTTAAAGATGAACTGATTTTCCCCATAACCCGTAGACAAAGACTATATAAACAGGAAGAGGTCGTTCTGGAAAGAAAAAGTGCTTAACTGTTCCAGGTAGGATGCATGAAGCTTGCAAGTATTGTAGGAATTTTCAACAGCTGAAGTGCCTAAAGGAAAGCATGAATTTGAGCTGGCAGATGACACTCATTGTAGAAAGATAAAAGGCTGCACAGTGTCTGTTTCTCAAAAAGCTTTGTGTGGAGGCCAAGGGACAGAATCACCTAAAGGATAGCTTATTCTCCTTCTTCTGTGACAGGTGTGGCATGTCTGTTGTATTTCCCTGAGAAGGCAGGAACTCTTTGTAGTGGAAAATTTCTGGAAAGACAGAATATTCCAAGGTAGCAGTCTAGTAAGAGCCAATCCATTCCCTGCTTACTCTGGGTGAACGCAACAGCTTGTGTTTGATTTCATATAAAGCTTCTGAACCACAGTAATCCATGTGGGATATTTTTTTTTTTTAATTCTTAATTTATTGAGCAAGTAACGTCTATGATAAGAAGCCTTGCGTAGTTCTATAATGCATTATGAAATATTTTGCCTTGAAACTATAGATGTGCTGGAGCATGTAGTGCGCTGAAGTGTTCGGTAGCAGCCTTAATGGGAGAGATAAAAGATGGGTCTCATGATAAGAAATCTTGTATAACTATTTAATAATAACAGCTAAAGAGAAAGTGCTGAACAGAGCAATGCATATGAGAACAGTGAAGGCTGAATTTGCAGTCTTCCTATTGATTCAAAGAAGCTTCAGAGAGAGATTTCACTTCTGACGTAGAAGCTCATCACTTATCTATCAAAAGAGGTGAATGAGCAATTCAGATGATTGGTTGGCTTAAAATTTGTTAGAATAAAATGATCATCATTCTCTCATTAGTATGTTTCAAAAAGCTGAACAGCAGATTCATCAGTAATGATTAAACATTTATATATAGTTTTCTCAGATGGCCTCCTTTTTCCCTATAGCCTTGCAGTTTTCAAGAGACATAATGTGACAGAGGGAGTGGGAGGATATGGAGACAGACATCTGAGATGTATGGAATGCTTAGAACCTACAAAGCGAATAGTGGGAATTGAAGTTAGTTGACAATTTACAGATTTCAAGTCAAGAAATACACAAATAATAATGACAATAAATACATTTCTGTTCATCTATTCGAGAAGTAGCTTTTGACTTCCATAAGTCAAAGTGTATCCCAAATAATGTTGAGCTAAATTCTCCTCATGGATTTCTGCAAAATACAGAAAAAAGAGAGAAAGTTGTCAAGACCTTTAAAATACAGCATTAGGAAGAGAGGTTTGTTGTCAGAACTGTGTAAAGGGGATTAAATTTCACTTCTGCTGTATACTCCAAAGAGTACTTTCAGCCCTTTCATCTGGTGTAGTAAGCCTTTAAGCCCAAGTCACTTTAAGCTTACTACTGTGTTACATGACTATTAACTCAAATATCTGATTCCAGAATATGTGTATTGCCAGAAGTTAATTTTCCATTTCTTTATTGTCAGTTGAAGACTGCATGGCTGATGTTGATTAAGGAAAAACATTTAAGTCGTCTTCAAAAGGATTTATCTTCTTTTTGTCTGAAATGAGGCCTAAAGAAACATAGATCTAAAGTGTTGAAGGGTTAGAAAAAGAAAGGAAATCAGTTTTTGCTCGAAAACCTTTTTTAAGCAAATTGGCTCTAGAATGGTTGTAGGGGAGAAACCGCAGCAAGTAACTTGCATAGATTAATTTTCACCTGCTTAATCAACATGGATGCCATGAGTTGTTTTCACATTGTTTTAAAAGACAAAAAAAAGAACATAGGTGACAGTACAGTGCTGGAACCCTTTGGATTATTTTATTTTTTTTAATGGCATTTTTTAAAAATTCTGGAAAAATATCTGTAGATTTATGGAACAGACACAATTCATCATCACTTGGTGTTAATAAACCTTACAGTAGCTTGCGTCAGAAGGGCAAAGTTAGTAATGACTTGAACCCAAACATATGGCAGAACAAAATATTAACTTGCCGTTAATTGATTATTGCAAAATAGTGTGGTATGGTTTATTTTTAATTAACTGTTCTTGACTTGCATGGTTTTTGCTGTTGCATTCCAGCAGAAACAGAGTTGTCACACAGAGGATGCGTCTATTGATAACAGGGGAGGTTCTGTCTCTGTAAAAAGTAGAAAATGTACTGCTAGTACATTTTTTTAAAAGAAAGATCCTAGCAGTAGCTTTACTTTTTGTCAAATATCAATGAAGACTAGTGAATGAAAATATATTGGATTTTATTTTAAGAGAATTTTAAAGTAAATGTACTGGATGAAGTACCAGCGAATGAACCCTGAAGAACAGTATTGCAGAGATGTATCGTCGTTATTTCATGTGTTGCAGTGAACACCCCGCTTACCTATTCCACACATCTCAGGAAACAAAGTCGGGAAACAAACTATTAGCCACACGTCTGTGGGAGGATAATAGCCTGGGAGATAGAGAGCAAAACGATCTGTGGAATGTTTTAATTTTGGTCTGTGACACTCGGGACATGGACATTGCAGGAGTGCTGGCTCAAAGATGCCGTTAAACACAGGCCTGCCATGGGGGCGGTGCCGTACTCCGGATGCAGGAGAACCTCTCCGAAGGTCTAGGATGACACAGTGCTTATCGTTAGACAATTGCTAGCATTTAAGTTAGAGCAGTTTAAGACATTTTCACTTTTCTCAGATAGAAGTTATGACCTTTCAGATGAGAAGAATGTTAATACGGTCTATTATAGTGCAAACGAAACATTTTACAGGTATCAGCAGCTCTCTGCAGTTAGTTGTTTTATTTCCAGTGCCACAAACTGCAGGAGTTAGTATGGTTGGTGTGTCTCACCTAGGGACAGAGGGAAGGGCGGTAATTCTCAGCAAAGGACAGTTAATTTTTTAAAGCTGTTTTACCTCAGACATTTCCTTTTCTCTGGCTTTATCCTGTGCTACAGTCTCAACTGACATAGCAATACTGGCAAGTCCCTTACATTTTAGCAGATGTTGGAATTTTTCTGCCTTGGCGTTTGCACCATTTCCTCAGTTGATGCCAGCTAAGCCAACAAAAGCTGTCTTCTGTTGGCGTAAGTTCACAAGTATATCACCAAAGACTATGCTGGCAAAGTGAGTAGCAATGCAGGGATCGAACTTTTCCCATCTGATTTAGCATAGGGTGTTTTCTCCAGAATAGTGTAACATAAACCGGGTATAATTTTGTGAGTGTTATTGACCTGGGTGAAAGATTAGGTGAGAAAAACTTACAAAGACAAAAAACTTAAACTTACAAATTTCCTTATCATAGAATTATGTACATCCTACTCTTCTTAATTTCTTTTTTTCTGTTATATTCTGGCAGCATTCATTGAGTGAATTGAATGATCTTTTAACTCAAGAAATAGAGATCTCTAAATGGGAATGAGAAAATAATGTAATAGTTCATGTTTTAATCTCTGGTTCCTCTTCAGTATCTTTTTTTTTCTTTTTTTATGTGGAGGGAATTTATATCTGCAGCATGTAGATTTCTTAACTGAATAAATAAGCTTAACTGTTCATTGTTTTTTTAAAATCTTTTAACAGGCAAAAAAATAATTAGTCTGAATATTCAGTCAGTCACAACTTACAAGACAATTTCTAATGTTATTGGATATTTAAAAGGAACTGTATTTCCTGGTAAGTAGCCGTTTGTAATTTATATTGATTATTTGTTTCATGATGGCTGGGAGTCATAGCTGGGATCAGGATTCTGTTTTGGCAGATGATGCACTAATACAGAGGAAGGAGAGAGCCTTTGTTGTAGTCATTTTGTGATTTGATTTATGACAAAACAGAAGTAAGGGTTAAACAGCAAATAAGCTCAAGGGGATATTATAGTTACACTAACCATATTTTGACACAACAAGCAGAAGTTACATGTAGATCATAGACAGTATTTTATACCAAGTAACTATGTTGGTGGTTTTAATTTTAGGGTGTACTGATTTGAATTAATATGCAAGCTGTCTATACAACTTTATAAAAGGGTTTGATTCTTATTCTAATGTTAGCAGAATTTTAAGATAAATAAAACTCTATGCTTCAAGTCCAGAACGCCCCTACGTAATTAAAATGTCTCACTGAAACCAAGGTGTAAAGCAGCGGGATCACTGGCTCAGTTAAGAATCTGATATCAAATGTGATTATAGCATACAAAAATCTGTGACTAAGTTCTTAATCACACTTGCTGCAGCCGTATTTTGTGTTACACTCGTGCCTTAAGCTAATTTTGTACAAGTCTATGAACGATAATTACTGTTCTGTATGTCTAAGAATTAAGCAATAAGATTCTAAGTGCAGCTGTGACATAAACCACAAACCTCCTCCCTCTTTGATGGCGTATGCATATAATATGATAATCAGGACATTGTAAGAATTAAGATGATTTTGAGTTTATTCCGTGTGCAAGTGAATTTGCCTAAAAGCTGAAAGGTTTCTGCAACACGGCTGAACACCTTGCTGGCTACTTACGGATTGTAAAGTGTTGTAGACCCAGTCCAATTCCTAAGGTACAAATGGCATCATCACATTTGCCTTGATTAATATTCGTCTGTTGGATTCAGAAGAAAGGTTGCAAATTTGTCTACAATCCCTTAGGAGGTGGGCCACTCATTTCATATTTTAAGTGATGGAATGAAGGAGATGGAGAAGATTTATATTTTTTCCTGTTAGTGAAATAATGATTCAGTTTTGTGTGTGCCTGAATGCTGTACTTTTCACCAGAATATTTTTTTTTTAAAGCATAGAAAACAATTAACACAGCGAATTTTATTTCGGTAAAAGATTTAATTTCCTTCAAGAATGTGAAGTCTGCTATTGCTAATGTTTTGCAATAGCTGTCATGGAATTTGAAAGGTAGAAACTACCATGTTTAGACATACTGTCTACTGAAATAGAGGCAAGACAAGTAATAAGAAGCATGCATCAGTTTCTGTTTAATAAATTCTTTATCTTCTCTATATCTGAGTTTTTCCTCTTATTATTGCATTCTTAATAAGAAACTACTTTTTAAAGGTATGTCAGTATATGTTTAACTTTAAAAATTTAAGGATATTTAATGAAATGAAGTCAATAGCACTACCCAGATGCCAACGGTTTATCCCATAAATGTCTTGCTGAACATGGGTCATGGCAACTGGCTCCTAATGTAGGCACAAGTTAAGCATACAGCGCACCATGGATAACGTTTTGTACAAAATCAGTGTTAAGCCTTCATTTGTTTCTCTACTCTTCCTGGTTCATACTGTGGCCATGCCCTCTCAACGGATTTGAATACTTGATGTTTTCATGGCATTGATTCTCTGTCATATTGTTGAGGTTTTCCTAGTTTCATACACCTGAAATATTCACCTTTGCGTTCCCAGAAATGCAGAAAGAAAGCCAAATTTATCTTTAGTGTTTAATGAAAGACCAGAGTATCACCATGGGTAGATTTTTTTTTTTTCTTAAAGGCCTCCTAGCATACACACAAACACATTTATGTAATGGTGATCTTATTTGACATTTGATCCTAGGATTAACAATAAGCACCTGATATCCAACCAAGATATTAAAAGATTTAGGAGCAGAGGAAATATGATAGTTGGTAGCCTTTTAAAACCTGAAAAACATAACACTGATCTCATAGCTGTATTGGGCATGGACGAAAATGGGATCTATAACCAAGACAACAGTAAAAAGTCACTCTTTATAAATGATAAATCCCTGTTGTCCAGCCCGTCACTGTCCTGAACATTAGCCTATCTTATCACTTTCAAAAGTGTCTGATGGATATTTTTTCTCTATCTCTAGTCTTTTCTTTCTCTTTTTTCTTCCCATGTGATCTCCTCCTCTACATGTTTCAGTAAATGATTATGAGAAAGGACATTTGCTGCCTCTGTACGCATGACCATCCTTTCTCCTATGCTTTTCCTGTAGTCATTTGCTTCAGGGTATTGCCTCTATTCAAGAGGGAGAGATTTGCAAAGATGAAGAATTTCAAAGGAGGCACCAGCTGTACGTTTTACCCTTGTTCATTCAGCTGGCATGTCCTACAGTAAGTTGCTACTTGTAGCTTTCTTCTCCATCAAAACTTCCTACGCTATTTTAGAAAAGGTCTCTTTTACTCCCCTTCATATACACTGTCTACGGACTCAACAGAGATTGTAGTACAGGGCAAACATTGATCCTGTCTGATCACTCTGTGTTATGGCACTTCCTCTAATGACCTAGAAGCCTGTAAGGCCATTCATTTCTCTTCCCAGTTCCTAATGTTAAGTGGGTTGACGATCCTATGATTTTTCACTGTCAGTGCAACCTGTAATTAAACGTCTCATGATGCAACAAACAAGTTGCAAAATTATGTAATTTAGATTGCATTTTGTTACATTAAATTATTATGTCCTCTTCGGTTTACATTTTTCGTATCTGCTTTTAGAAAGAAATTTTCATTTACGTACCTATACACACCCCAAGCAGTTGATTGAAAATGTCGTGTTGTGGGTACATGACAGATCCCCTGTTTGTAAAGCATTTTTGATTCCTTATAAAAAAGAATCGCCTTCTATTTTGTTGAACAAAACTGGTAGTAAAAGTCCAGTTTGATAGAGAATGGTTTTATAATCCAAGTATGTTGGTGTTCAGTTAAAGTTGTTTCTAGGCAGCAGTCGCTGCAAAAGATACTGAGGATCAGATATTTAATTTTATAAGCAATATAAACCGTGGGCATTTTGCCACCTGTGTGTCGCTACGTTCCAGTGTACTAACAACAGTGAAGAATGAATCCCCTTGGATAAAGAAAGAAAACCAAAACTTTTCACACTTTTTGGAACCCACATGACACCTGAGATTGTTGTAGCTCTGGAGTCACTTGATAACTGTTCTTTTGTTCTCTATCGGTATCCAGGAACATGGAAGGAACACCTTTCCAAGTCTAGATCTGGGCTAGAAAGAGACTTCATTAAATATCAGAACACAATCAGTAGGCAATCCGTCAAAGAGGCTTCGGTTGTGAATTCATCTCAAACAGAAGGTCTAACAGTTTAGAAAGTCGTTGAGCATAACTCTACTTAGACTTCTTGACGCGTGTCAGTCACACTAGTCATTCATGTTGTTTCATACTACGTCATCCTTTTGGAATAAAATAAGGTTCTTTACACTTGTGAGTTAGTATTTGGATTATATATTACACCTTGGGACATGAAGATTTCATTTAATTTCTCTGAAAAAAAAAGTATGTTTTCTTTTCTGGATAACCATAGGCATGTGCTTTATTTCAGGTTGAAACTTCTTTTCATTTTATAAAATGCTTTCTTCCAGTATCATCAGAGTTACTAGGTCTGACTTACCATTTCTGTATCATTCATTATCTCTATTCCTCTGTCATGTCTCCTCTCTAAACCTGCAGTCCAGGTCTTTTCAGTGTCTCCTTACATGGAAGTCTAAGTCCTGATAAATAACCATTCTGGTTACCAGCTTCTCAACTGCTGTTTCTGCAATGTCTTTTTTGAGATAGGGTGATGAGCACTGAACACAGTCTTCCAGGTGAGGGAGTACTAATACTTTGTGTATTTTCTCTATGTTTCTCATTGTACTACCACACCTTTTGTTTTCTTTTTTTTGGACACTAATATGTATTGAAATAGAGTTTCCTGCTTATTCATTTGTGTTTTTTCATAACACTCTATGTGAGCATGGAACTTTATTAGATTATCTAGATAGCGAAGTCCTGGAGGTAAAAATGGTACACATCGGATATATAAGAAAGGAGAATAATAAACAAACAATGAAGGCAAGGGCATAGAGATTAAATTAGGAGAGTATATACAAATATTTATTTACTAGTTTATTTTTAAGTAATATTTCACAGCTTTATGTATTTATATTGTATGATTGTCTTTCCCATGATCATATATATTTTTGTTGACAGCATTGTGTTGGATTAATAATATTACAGATTGCTAATACAGTTCATCGTTTAATTTTTTAAAATTGTTTTCATGCTATTGTCTGGAAGAAATAAAATTCTCTTGTCTGTCTTTTTTTTCACATTTCAGACAGATATGTCATCATTGGTAGTCATCACGATGGTTTGGACACTTATGGTGGACAAGAATGGGCCAGTAGTACTGCAATCATCACAGCATTTATGCAAGCCTTGATGTTGAAGGTTAAGAGAGGCTGGAGACCTGACCGGACCATTGTTTTCTGCTCATGGGGAGGAACATCATTTGGGAACATTGGTTCATATGAATGGGCAGAGGTAAAATAGTTTTAGAAGGAATCATTGCAATGATGATTGCTTGTATTGAAAGCATGAAAACAAGTTGTTCCCATAGCTGTGAAGGTTGCACATACGGCACCTTTGTGAGCTGATGCCCCTCCTCATTCAGCAGAGGTCTGTAAAAAGAGGACATTGCGAGAGTTTGGGGAGGAGGGAAAAACCTCAAAAAAAGATCTAGGAATAGCTTAGAGGACTTTTTCTCCTTCTTGGAGGTCCAACAGTTACTAATTTTTAATTGATAAGCTTAGTGTGGGGAGAACTGAATCAAGAGCAGACTTAATGAAGAGAATCGTGTCATGGTTTACATTAGTTACACAAACATTTCAGTGTCTCCATGGCCAGTGCTGATTCACTTTTCACATATTTGTGCTAAGGAGTTAGATACAGTCTGACACAGAGAATTCCTTGGGCTCTTACATACAGCAAAATAGAAATCAGCTTACTGAAATCATACATGATTACAGTAGGCTTCAGTTGATAAATTAAAGGAGTAGCTAGCAGAGTGATTCATGGCTGCTGAATTAAAACAGTAGATAAAATGAAGAGTTAATTGTTTTTTATCATGCGTGAGAAGCAGCTTGCTCTCATTGAAGTTTCATACTTCCAACAAGATTATTCTTCAAAAACAAGAAGGGGTGAAAAACTCAAATTGAAAAGATCCAGGCTGGAAGCAAAATTTGTTTAGTTCCACTTCAAGTCAGCTTTACATCAGATGTAATTGCGTTACGTCCCTTCTGTTCAATATACAGAGCCACTTCATGCAAAGAGTAACTCATTACCAGGAAGGCAAAGGTGATCTTTTTTTAAAAAGAGATAATAATTGAAACTGCTCGTTCATACTATTTTTGTAGTCTAAAACGTAATAAAATGAAAACACTGAGAATGTTACGCAATTCAAACCTGACTTTGGTCTCTCAAAATTTGGGTACATTTAACTGTTGATAATGATTGCTTTTGAAGTTTGTCTTCTGTCAGGCATAAGTTTAAAAGGCCTTCACGTTGTTTCACAGTATGTAATGTTTTCATTTTTGGCCTTACAAGTGTAGTCATTTTTAATTCCTCCTGGGCCTGTTTGCGTTTTGTCGAGATGATGTGTGAAATGAAATTATAACTTCTGCTATGTGGAGAAATAACACTAAGATATCCTTTGAAGTTCTTAGCAGCATGTTGTAAGAAGTTGTAGTTAAGTAATACTCAGGGAATCACAGAGGACAAAAACGTAGGGTGCAGTTTTTCCCTAGAAGGAACTGAAAGAACAAAACAAGTCTTAATTGTAACAATGCATAGTAATGACCATTGCTCTGGTTGTGTTGTAGGATCTCAGGAGAGTTCTTCAAAGAAATGTTGTGGCCTATGTTAGCCTCCATAATCCAGTCACAGGCAACTCAACTTTGCACCCTGTTGCATCTCCTTCTCTTCAGCAACTGACAGCAGAGGTTAGAAATTAAGTATTTTCTTTCACATGTGGTTTATGAGGTTACACGGTTAACCCCTTTGATGCCAGGTGGGTTTAGATAACTACAAGTGGAGGTTGCTTTATTTAAGAGTTTTAACCTCACAAATACACATGAACTGTTTTTACTAAGTAAGCAGGTTAAATTTTATTTTAAAAATTACAAGATGTGTTAAGAGATTGGAAATAATAATTTATTTCAACTACTCATTATACCAAGTCTCACCAAGTTTTGCATGCCCTACAGCTTTTTCACCTTTTGGCAGCTTTAAAGTAACATATTTTTTATTCTTTAGCACAAAGCACATTTTTCTCTTCCTAATCTGATCCTTCCAGACCGTTTCTTAATTTGCATTTAAACCTGTGTATTTACCAGATATAACGTGACACACAGGAAGTTTATTACTCTTACATAATAAATGCTGTCTAAAGCAAGTCTGTCAGATTCAGTGCTCAGCTATGCCTTTGTAACTAGTCTGCAGTCAGAATATTCTGTAGTTACGCTGGTGTAAGCGCACGTAAGCTTCAAACTAATGACCTTATTGCCATTTCTGAGGTGGCTGAATTTATTAATATTTAAAAGGAATTGAAAAATAATAATAAGGTACATACTAAATGACAAAAACAGTTTAAAGTGACATGCATAAAATGGAGTTCAATTTGACTTGCATAAAGTATGCTTTTCAGATATTTTTTCCATAAACTTGCCAAGCTAATACTCATTATTCCGATGTTTCTTTGACTTGCCTCTGAAGCATTTGGTACTAAACACTGCTCAACGTAGCATCTTGAATTTAGCGGAGTTCAAGACAGAGCTTGCTTGGCAATTACTGTCCAACTAAGTAGAATTATATCGGTCAAATTGCTTCTTAGCAGTGTTTTAACCACTTCTCCTGTCCAGTGATTAGGTGGTAGTTTCCTCATGGAAAGGATGTGGCTTATTCTGTGTAAGTAATACAAAAAATGCAATGCAAAATCATTTCTTTTCAGGGAAGAAAAGGCTTTTAGTTGTGGAAATGTATTTATGAAGTTATATATATGAGCCTGCAGGTGTTAAGCATATGTGTAAAATGTTAAAAATTCTATTACACGTTTTTAGCTACTGTATTTGCAAAATATACTATTCTGATAGGATGCTAGCTTTTAGCTAACCTATTGGTGTTTGCAGTCTTATCTCCATGAAAACAAGTATTTGCCATTTAAAGGAATAAATTTATTACATTAGGTCCTTGAGCTATTTGGTTTTTTTCTCATTTTGTTCCTTTGACTTCACAACATGATCCGTGGCAGTGATCTGAAAACTGTAAACTGTCTGGAGCTGTGTGGCAGACACTTTATTATCCATTTATCACTTTATTAAGATTTGATTCTTTTTTTTCTTATAAACACTATATTAGTAAAGGTGTTACAGTCATGCCCTCTGTTTTGGAGGAAAAGCAAAGGAAATCTCTTTTTCACTTCCACTTTATTTCTGTGGTGCATTTGGTTGTGATGTTGCAATATTTTGTAATTCTTCTTGTAATAACAATTGTATCCTCTCCTGTAGTACGGACACACCCTCTCTTAGCAGTCCTGCCTTGCACCAGTTATTTAGTTAACAGTCAGTAAAACATGACTAGAACTTCATTTTTTTTCTTCCAGTAAACACCCTCCATCTCACCTCTGATTCTTTAGTGTCTAAGGCTTTGTTATCGAGATTTATCCGTTCTGCATGTTTACCCCGAAGCCACGTTTAGAAAGGACAAAAGACGTGAGATAATCGGTATAGTTTTATTTTTTGTAGGATAACATTATTGGTAATTAATGCAACTGTCATACAGTTTGTGACATTAAAAAGATTTGTAGGAATTATTGCTTCCAAATGCTGGCTAGATTTCTGAATTTATGTCAAGTATATTGACAGTGATGGAACAGCCCAGCACAGATCTTCATTTGTTCCCTCTGGTACCCAAAATTTGCCACATGTCTAGAAGATTTTTTCTGGAAGACTGATCTACTTATAAAGAATATTGATACTGCTTCCAGCACTTGTGAAGATGACAATGTAACTAGAGATTACCTCAAAATTATGGTAGTAAAAATGGGGTAAGATTTTTGGAGCTCATCTCAAAGAAATTGTGAGTCCATTCACATGGGATTCTTGTTAACAGGTGCAGGTTGCAAAGAAGTGCTTTAAAAATCCAGTGAGAGACAAGGATGATTTTGATTTGTAAGAGCAATTCTCTGAATTTAGGTTTGTTAGAATAGAGTAGAAGGTGAAACAGGAACTGAGAATTAATAATATCAATCCATTATAAAATGAAAAGTGAAAATAACCAATCTCATTTAGTTAAAAACTTTCCACAATTTATGGATACATAGAATATACTGCACTGTACCTTTGGATCCAATGGTAAAACTCATACTTCCATTTTTAGGCCACAATGAAAAGAAATGAGCTTGCGTTGATTTTCGTATTCCTAAACAGTGTTTTGAGGAGGGGGAGACTTAAGATCTGCACAGCATTTGCACTAAGGGCGGAGTTGGGTTTTCTTCAGTGTTTGCTGTTGTATTAAAATTGTGGGCACTCCATCTCAGCGAAACAGAGGAAGAATGTTTTCCTAGGGACAATTAATACTCGTTAAAAGTACCTACAAAGGTGAGGTACTAGGATTCTGGGGAGAACAATGAAAAATTGTAGTTTGTCCTGTGAAAGAAAACTCGAGTAAAAATCACATAAAATGCAGAGCACTCCCTGAATGCTACAAGGACCGTAGCTTAAAGAGAGCTGTGGAGAAATGTCAAAGTAGGATAGACAGATGCATACAACAGTATTTACTTTCTGTGCTGTAAATATGTGGCTTTTCCAAAATAAAATTTGGAACACTCGCTAATCCCTGCGGCTTCCAAGACACTTTTTTTTCCTTAATTTCTGGAAACTGTGGGAACAGTAGAGAAGAAGTTGTAGCTGAAATGTAGTTTGTAGAAATATTCTAGACTTAGAAATCTTAAACCTGATGAATTGTCTACTATGTGAGATCTGGTGCTCAGTTAGAGACTAGGTTAAGAGTTTGGCAAATTAACAGAAACAATAACTTGTTAAAGATGTTTTGTGTAAAGGCATTACGTCTTCATTTTAGTTGCAGGTTTCAAAAAGGAGCTGCATAAGCAATCTGCAAATAATAATTTCATGTGCCTATCAGTGGGATTCTGGTCGAAACACCAAATTACATGAAGAAGCAAATTTAAATATTTGGATTAATAAAGCAAAGAGGAATTCAAACAATTCTGAGACCTTGACATATTTAATTCAAATCTTTTTTATATAACTTGACATATTTAATTCAAATCTTTTTTATATAACTATGCTAATTAGTGTCCACAGTAATAAGAGGGAAATACTGTCAAGTTATATTTTTGCCTACTATTATTTTGTAAATAAAATGATTATTAATTCGCTTGCACAGTTAGTGAATCACCATTTGTTGGCAGAGTGTCATTGGTAAATTGGGTTTGTTTGATGCTGGCATTCATTCTCTTTAAATAAGGTCATTAATGAATTTTTTTCTATAATTAACATTTCACAATTAAAAAAGTTATTATGAAACATAAATTAATTGTTCTTTTAACTGATTGTGTGACCACTGCTGATCTGACTCCAAGTCTGCTGTTACTGC